GACAACTTCCAATTTTCCTAGATTCATACTTTGTACATTCCATGTTCTGATTATTAATGGATGTGTGCAGCTGTTTCTTCTCATTTTGAGTCATGCCACATTAGCAAATGGAAGTCCTGAAAGCTCTACTTTATCCATATCATTAAGGTAGGCTCTACTCTGATGAGGCAGCTCTTTCCCAGTCATATTTTGAGTGACTTCTGACCTGAGGGGCTCATCTTCTGGCACTATATTGGATAATGTTTCAGGACTATTCATAAAGTTGTCTAGTAATATATCAGACAGTTTTTCAATGCTATTCATAAGATTTTCACTGGCCAATTCTTTGATAGGTGGATGGCCTCTTCCTTCTTCTGAGTCTGTCTCAGATTGGAAGCTCCACTGAAACCTGTCCACCATGGTCAGCCCTGCTGGTGTTTGAAACACAAGTGGCACAGCCTCCAGCCTCATAGCGACACGCAAGCCACCACAGTACTACAAACTGACAGACAAGTTCGTCTCCCTTAGCTGTTCCAAACCAGCTCTCGCTTCCAGCCTGGGGACTCTCCCCCTTACCTGGCTGTCAGCCCTGGCTCCTGCTGCTTCCTGCCTTGGCAGGGCTCTCTATCTTTTTATAGACAGTCCAAAAGCCCATTGTCATCAAGTCAATTCTGAGTCCTGGTGACTTTATAGGAATTTTTTTTTTACAGAAACAGAATCTCTTGTCTTTCTCCCATAGAGTGGCTAATGGGTTCAAACCACTGACATTTTGGTTAGCAGCAGAATGCTTTAACCATGGAGCCACTAGAAATGACTGACAGAAACCAAAAAAAAAGAGTTATAAATAAAAAAAGTACATTTTACTGACCTTTATATTTTCTGATATAATCACCTTTATCAGTGCTCTTTAATTCTTTATATTAATTCAAGTTAATATCTAGTGTCCTTTCATTTCAACCTAAAGAATTCCCCTCAGCATTTCTTGCAGGGCAGGTATCTAGTGATAAATTCTCTCTCAGTTTTTGTTTATCTGAGAATGTCTTATTTTCTCCTTTGTTTGTGAATAACATTTCACAGAATATAGAACCCTTGATTTACCACTTTTTTCTTAAACATTTTGTGTATACCATCCTACTGTCATCTTGACTGGTTTCTGATGAGAAATCAGACGTTAATTTTACTGATGATTCCTTATACACGATGTATTGTTTCTCTTTCTATTTTCAATATGCTCTTTGTCTTTGGTTTTCAACAGTTTGATTATGATGTGTCTAGTTGTGAATCTCTAAGAATTTATACTATTTAGAAATTACTGAGCTTCTTGAGTGTGAAATTCAATGTTTTTCATCTAATTTGGGAAGTTTTCTGCCATTATTTCTTCAAATAGGCTTTTATTTCTTTCTCTCTCCTCTTGTGTGTCTCTCTCTCTGTGTGTGTGTGTGTATGCTTAATGATCTTCAAATTTCCTGTTTTGTAGAAGTTATTTGTTCTTGGTCCTCCTCTTTATCTTTGTCTTCTCTTTCTCCTTCTTCCTTTCTATAAACATTGAAAGTGAAGGGAGTTTTCTTCTGAGTCTTGTGGTAAATTGTCTTCATGGATCTGCTCTTTCCCTGCGTCATCCAGAGAGTGTTCTTTACTTCTGTTTCGTAAAATCTTTCCAATGGCCTTGTGCAGCTTTGTTTTTCTGTTTTTTCAAACTTAAACCAAATAAATCTGCCAGATTTGGTGATTGTCAACAGTTTGCTTATTTGTATTACCCTTTGCTGTATAGTTAGTCCCCTTGAAGATGAGTTCAGCTGCATATACAAAACTCCTAGACCAATTTCAAATGTTAAGCAGGTTTTCCTCTCATCTGATAATACTGGCCAGACATAGGGTCTTCTTTCATCTCCATTTCCTGATTCTCTTACATTTTTAAAGTGTTTATTATTGCACACATAATTGATGTAACTAGTTTCATTGAATTATGCAAGTGACAAATGCTGAATTGGCAAATGCTATGTGATCTATCTATCTCTCTATATATTTTACAATATTACTACTAATAATAATAAAAACCCTGTTTGAAAAAAATCCTTTAAACACTGTTTCTACTATTCTTGTTTTGATTTGTAAACTATCTTTTTGGACTGCACCTCCAAAATGCAAAGTGCCACCGATAGTCTTCTTTATTTTCCTATTTATTTTCTTTCTAGAAGTTGCAGTGTCGAACTATGTATCAGGGGATGTGGAAAGTACAGCGTGGCAATTGACTTAAAGAATGGCATTCATTTATGAAGGGATGGCTGCTGAGTGTTTTGACTGGGGTAGTTCTCATGTTTCTTGATCATGGGGCTGATAGGTAGAAAGAAATATATTATTTCCTGTTTACTTTTTTGATAGCAGATGTCATTGATTTTCAACTGCATAATCCTGGCAGGTACTCAGTTTTGTTTTTCATTGCAGTGCCACTGGTGAAGCCCCAGTTTTGAGGCTATTATTTCCATATAAAACCCATTGCCATCGAGTCGGATCTGACTCATAAGGACCCCTCCTTGGGTTTCTGAGGCAGTATCACTGTAGAAGTTGATTGCCCAACCTTCCTTCTGAGGAGTGGCTGGTGGGTTTGAACCACCAGCCTTCTGGTTAGCAGTCAAATGCCTTAGGTACTACACCACCAGAGCTCCTTCCAAAACC